GGGCGACGCACGACGCACAGTGGGCGACGGACGACGCACAACAGGCGACGCACGACGCACGACGGGCGACGCACGACGGGAGACACACAACGGGCGACGCACAACGGGCGACGCACGATGGACGACGCACAACGGGCGAGGCACGACGGGCGACGCACGACGGAAAATGGCATGTTTGGAACTGGTAAATGGCAGAATTGGGACACAACAAAGCAAATGCGACGGACGACGGGCGACGGCAGATATGGAATTCCATAGTTTTTCGGTCTCTTCTGTTTTTTTCTCTCTTGAGAAGTTTGACCGACAAAGACTACATTTGTTATTGGTTTTTATGATGTTCTAGATAAGCCATCTTGTATCTTACAATTTATATACAACAAGAACACCCCCACGGAAGTCGCCATTTTCAAGCTGTAATGCGTATGTAAACTGCCACCTCACCCGCGGCGAATGGATAGTCGCTCCTGAGCGAAGAGCTAGAGGAGACTAGTTTAAGCAAACTAACGCACGAAGAAAGACTACAAGACGAACCGCACGCACGCCCCGCACGCCTTTGGAGTTCTGCCCCACGTAACTTATGTTTTCTTTACATTTGCTGCCGTTTCGGTAACAGGTACGATATATGCCGACGCATGAGTCTCCATCAATGAAAACGATCTCCTGTCTTGGCGTTGCATCATGCATGTAATGAATTATTCAACATTACAATGGGCGCGTATTCAACATGGCGTCTTTTCCGGAAGTGGTGTCAGTTGTAGACTACAATCTCTTCCAGAATTGCTTCAAATATGCAGCACCGAAACTTGAGATTCTGATCGACAAATTGAAACCACAGCAAATGTCGGCCGTGAAGGCTTTCCTGGGGGGTCGAGACATATTTGTCAATCTTCCAACTATGGCAAAAGTTTCATATACCAGGCCGCACCGTTGTGCAAAGACTTCATGAATTAAGTAGTCTAGACACGCTACGATTGCTAGGCCTATTTAATATGCAAATCATGTCAGTCGTCAAATTTGGCGCGCTATGACCCTGAAATTAATTCCGAATGTCCAGTAGAATGCAGTGTACTGGTTACAAACCGACACAATAACTGCTTTCCTTTTCACGCGAGCGAGAGTCCGAGAAGCCAGTGTCCGAAAAACGGGCCAGCACAGTGACTGAGATGGAAACGTGACACTGTCACCCGTTTGACTGGAGTGTTTGTCGTCGCCATTGTTTTTTAGTTCATCATTTTGTTCTAACTAGGGTTGATTGACTTCATGAGAAAATCGGCTTCGAGAATTCCAAAACAAAAACACCTGCTGGACTCTAGTCTCTCTACAGTTGATTCCTAATTTAATCAAGCGGAATCCCATTCTTTCACAACAATAGCCTACCCGCTTCGCAAAACTAGAGATCGACTTGAAACGCGGTTATTTCAGAGTATTGTATAAAGCTTTTGGTGAATTAAAAAAGTATATGTATGCATGTATCATAAATTACTGTTTTATTCTGAAGAATTTTTCGTCATCAAGTCAACATAAATATCAAAAATTACGACCGTAAGTTGTGTTCCTGAAAAAAATGGGTACGGGCAAAACCGTTATATATATAATTAACATCTCCCCAACGCAAAAAAAAATACATCTTGAAAAGAAAAAAATGTTGTTTTTTATCGACTGGAAATGTGTAATTAAATGATATTCATCTTGAATTACCCTTTTGGTAAGTAGACTAGCCCAGGATCCCCCCAAAATACGATTGGTTCAGAGAAATGTGAATAATTCATAACATTAGCATATTGAATAATTCAGATAAACCACTGGAAAAAAGCTCCAAATGCGTTTGCGGCGGGGCGGAACGGTGCGCACAGTCTACGACACACTTATGGGTACAGTCCACTAATTCAAGCCCCATTGAAAACAGTGTAGAATCAGCACTGTTCAGGGCCCAATAGCATGCACGCCAACATCCATGAGATTTCTGAAACACAAATGAAATTCTTGTCCAGTCACTAATCTTTCAATTTCTTTTCAATTTTNATCTGATTGCAGCTATTTTTCAAGTGGCAACCCTAAACTTTATCGGGTACTTAGGACCATTTTTTAAACGTAGTTTTCAGCCATTCTGCTCTCATATGAAAGCTCAAAGACCCAGGGCGTTGATCCTGACAATCTCACCATTTTGGGGGCCAAACAATCTCCTTTTGCAAAAGATACTGTGGGGGGGGGCACTTTTAATGCTAATTAGCTGGCCAGAAATTCTCACTTGAATTAGTTGTCTGCACCCTTTACAGCTCGGCTACTGCATGCGCATGCGTGGTTAATTTCGGGCGTGCTGTTCGTCGTGTAGTCTTTCTTCGTGCGTTGGTTTGGTGCTTAAACAAGTCTCCTCCAGCTCCTCGCTCTTGAGCGACTATCCATTTCGCCGCAGGCGCCTTGATCAAAGGCTACCACCTCGGATGCTACCCTCCATCCGAATTTTTTTTATTCGGTGTGACAGGCGTTTTTGTTTCCCGTACAAATCACTCGAAGGGTACATTTTTTCCCGTCGTCCCATTAGTGGTTTTTTCTATTTCATCAGGTATTGTCCTAAATCGGCTGATAGGAGGCACATAACATGTGCGATGGCAGATTTAGAGCATCATAAATTTTGGACCACTGTGAAAAATACCCACAAATATGGAAGATGTTTTTTGTAATAATGATGCTTGTTGGGAAATCGGCTGAGAGAGGCAATTTATTGGCACCCAGTATTCACGGACAGGTCGAGTCTTTGAAGGTAGTACCATAAGGAACCATAAACAAGACAAATCCAAACTTTGCTCACGTGACATGGTGTGCTCGGCGTTGGGCTACTTTTCACAGCAATTTTTGTCATGACAAACGGAATGGCAATACATGGCTGGGCAGCAGCGCGACAACCTCCTGCCGACCAAATCTGAAGAAGGAACGACAGTTTTAACAAGATAAGTCTTCCTCGAAGTGGCAATCTTTTGGACTTGCTTAAATAAAAACATCAGCCTATACACCCAGTACAATGATGGTCCATAGATGCCAAATTGTACTCCCTCGAAGTTCCCTTTTTTATTTATCGTCTCAAGTTCGCCCACATTTAGGGTCCACCCACGTCAAAACCCAAAGTGATTATCGAAGTTCAAAATGACAAATGCATGAAAGGCCAGTGAGGTTTTGCAGAGGATTCTGGCAAGGGAAACTATTTATACGACAGACCACATTGCACCATAGTGTCTCTGTGGACAGCAACTACGCCCAATAAACTAATCAAGGAAATACAGCATAGGATTTGTGTTGTTGATCAATCAAACACTTATAGCACGTATAAATATTTGACCGGAACATTAAACTTCTTCCTAGAATTTGGTTGGGCTCAATTGTAAATTTAATTTGAAATTTGCATAGCTTTCATTTTGTTTGCAGTGTAATTCACGACTGTAAAGCAGACTTTATCATACATTTTAGGGATGTGGTTATTTATTTACTTCTATGGAAGCTTCGGTGGAGAGTTAATGGTAGCAACCACATGGACTAGAGTAGAGCTAACTTCAGACTTATAGTGTGCTAATTGTCCATGTGCACTGAGGCATCATCCACCATTGGTCAAGACGTTTGTCGAAACTCTGTATAATCAGCTCTGGGACCATAACAACGGAACGAGCATGGGGCAAATCGGTCCGTGATTTAACATTTGACATATCATCCATTAATTTCATTCGCAAATGAAATCGCAGTAAATGTCAATCTCCAGGGGACGATAGTAACTGATGCCAGTAGCGCATCCAGGTTTGGTTGTCGGGGGGGATGGGGAATTCAAAAGCGAATGCGGCGTCGGGATTATTTTACATGATGTTGGGGAAGAGAAAATATCAAAAGCTTTACTCGTGGTCCCGAAATCCAAGCTTTTATTTCATGGTGTGGTTTTCTTAGGGGTTTGGTGGTAATATTTAATACATAATATTAAAATGAAAATGTGATAACTAAATACAAAAATGAAAATAAAAGTAAAAAATTGCCCCCCATACGCCATTGGCCGGTACAGTTTATGCAGTTTTACCTCTTGGCAAATGGAGTACAGATTACCACTGGCGGGCTCTGGGGCCCTTGTCTCTCACAAAATACGTTCTTTATACTCGTGTAATGCGGCCGTTTCACAATAGTGCGCCACCAAGAGTTTGCAACGCGTTGACCAAACACAGTGCGCGAAATTTGTCGACCCAATGCGCGTTTGGAAAGGGTCGACAAATTTCGTGCGTTATGATTGGCCAAAGTGTTGCAAACTCTTGGTGGCATGCTATTGTGAATCATCTCGACTTGATGTTCGTCGGAACTCTGACGATGTGGCTGTCTGGTATGGCTGTCTGGTGCAGGTTAACTCAAGTAATATGGATGAATACCTGACTGAACATTAAGTCAATCACACTGCAAATGCCTCGATTCTAGGGACTGGTACAGTTCATTATTGTGGAACATTGCCAGTAAAATAATCACTCCGTAAAGGGTGACATTTACAGCATGTCTGTCACTACCCGCAGAAATGCCAGGTTTAATCATGATTCTACTCAGACAGTGTGGTGAAATTGCATGGCATGTGTTATTAAATTTCTTTAAATCAACATTTATTTGGTGGTAATATTTAATACATAACATTAAAATGAAAATGTGATAACTAAATATAAAAATGAAAATAAAAGTAAAAATTGCCCCCCATACGCCTTTGGCCGGTACAGTTTATGCAGTTTTACCTCTTGGCAAATGGAGTACAGATTGCCATTGGCGGGCTATGAGGCCCTTGTCTCTCACAAAATACGTTCTTTATACTCGTGTTATACGGCCGTTTCACAATAGTGCGCCACCAAGAGTTTGCAACGCGTTGACCAAACACAGTGCGCGAATATGTCGACCCAATGCGCGTTTGGAAAGGGTCGACAAATTTCGCGCGTTATGATTGGCCAACGTGTTGCAAACTCTTGGTGGCGTGCTATTATGAATCGCCCGTATTTATTTCCTCTCGAATTCTAGCCTCTATTCGGAATCCCTTTGGGGGGCGTAGTGATATGCTGCAAGGTTTCGGCCTACCATCTTCAAAGCTGCGGGCAACTTCTTCCCATCTCAAGTAGTCTCCAAGATCATATAGTAGTTTCCTCAAGCTCAGGGAGTCTGTTAAAAGGCAAGAAATGTAGACTTTCTATTCGTTTGATATGAAGTCAAAAAGTTCCCTTTATGAAATAAAAGAACATTTCCAGAGTGACTGTAGTTTTCCTTTTTGAAGCTTACAGAGCACATACCTCAACACATTAAAAAGTTTTCTATGTCAAACTCTTCAGAAATGCAGTTAAATTAGTTTTAGGGCGCATGTATTTTAGGGAATTTGCTCGAACTTCAAATTTCTTGATCATCATTCTACTTCAAAGCGCTCAGCTTCATTTATGAACATTCCTATTTCTTTGTCAAGAATTCCAGGTCACACGTCACACCCAGTCGTCACTCAGTTTTATACACTTTGATTTAATGAAGTTTCTGTCTTCGATTCTTGCGTTGCTTTTGGTCAGTCCAAATTGCTGTATTTTCCTGATCGTAGTCTTGAAAAACTATCGCTGAATGCTCTTTTCAGTCAATATAAAAACGATTCAAAATTGCTTTCGATTTCGTGCCAAAATGACAGACTCCAAAGCTATTTCTGATTGCAAGTTGTATGATGATATAAACGAGATAACAGAACAGTCTACCACATCATTTTATCGCAGAATAATGGATAATAATGCGAATGGTGCTAACCTTTTTCGTCCCTGTTTTGGGCCTCGGTGAACAAAACACATCCCAGACTCAAGAGAGCAAACAAACACAGAAAGCCCTTCATCTTTCTCTTCAACTGTGAGTTGGAGCAGGGAAAAATGCAACGTATAAATATTACACTTCCAGCAATGAAACTACTGCCAATTCTCCTCACGGCAGGATAAAAACGGAATTACTCATTTTGGAAATGGAACACCCATTTCAATCTACTGGTACTGCAAAATGATGCATGCCAATTTGACTTTGCCCTTTTTTGGTTTTTATTTTGCCCAATTCTTTTTGGCTTTTTAAATCAATCAGTACAATCAAGGCTGCCCATGTCCCTAAAACTAATATAAGATACATCCGCCGATCAGACACTCGCGTTTTCAGCAGGCTAAGCTCGATTAGCGATGATTAGGTAGCCACAGTTGTTTTGCCGGATACCCAGGATATGTTTTGTGCATAGGTTTAACAGCTGGGAAAATCGAGCAGTGATCCACAAAGGGTCACTGCTCGAACCTCGGCGAGGGAAAGCGACGCTTGGAGTTGAAATGGCCGTTTCCCCGTTGTATTGGAGCCATAGGGTTTCGAAAAGAGATCTGACATTTCATAAATAGGACACCACAGGAAAAACTTAAGACGCAACAAAAAATCGTAGACCTATTTCACTCACATGCCTGGTCTTCTCGACTTGATGTTCGTCGGAACTCTGACGATGTGGCTGTCTGGTATGGCTGTCTGGTGCAGGTTAACTCAAGTAATACGGATGAATACCTGACTGAACATCACGCCAACCACACTGCAAATGCCTCGATTCTAGGGACTGGTGCAGTTCGTTATTGTGGAACATTGCCAGTAAAATAATCACTCCATAAAGGGTGACATTTACAGCATGTCTGTCACTACCCGCAGAAATGCCAGGTTTAATCATGATTCTACTCAGACAGTGTGGTCAAATTGCATGGCATGTGTTATTAAATTTCTTTAAATCAACATTTATTTCTACAAAGTGGCACAGACATGGGACATTTCGATTATTTTTTAACAGTTAGGTGATGATATTTGCATACAAAGTTCCCTCTTCACCAGTGCACAAAATTCTCGCACAAAGGTATTGATTCGATCAAAAGTTTCTTAGCACGAAAAGCTGTATGAGCACTGTTCTCCAACCCCCTCTTTTTACAAATTGTTAGATATTCTTGTTCCTCTTGAATATCTTTTGCAGAACAGTTAATAACCAAGTTTTTGGCATAGTTTTTGTGCCAATGCGCCATTATCGCAACATGAGTAATGCTATGGTGAAATGGCAGTATATTTGAAGAAGTTTGTTATGAAATTGGAGACCTCTCCACAGTCTCAATTCATGAGAGAAGTCAGCAAGAAAGTGTCGCCGTCGCCATAATTCACTCTACAACCATGCTTTTGCATAAGGTCCTCAGCGCACAGCTAAGCCCATGCCTAATCAGTGCGGATGACACTCTCAGTGCTCCGTACATGTTTTGGAAGCAGTTATTTTTCCCTTCACAACGTTTTATGATAATTAACAGACAGTACGCCATTGACACAGTAATGTTACTTTAATTTCTAGGTAGGGTTTGTGGTTTACGGAACCCCTAGAGGGGCATTTTTTTTTCTCGTGTGAACAAGAAAACTCTTCATGGGCATGATCTAAATCATGTCCACGAAATAAAAAAAAAAGTCCCTTTAAGGACTACATAGAGGTTGTGCGTTTTTATAATTGTTTTATTTTGCCTTTGTTCAGTACGGAAACTATCCTTGAAATATCAGATCAGGTTAAACCCTCATTAATACAGTCTCACAATAATAAACGATAGCTTCTCACAAGCTTTGCATTGTGGAATTTTAGAGACTGTTAAGCACGAGAACACAAGTTCATGGCTGTGTACGCAGCCTGATTTCTGTCACTGTGTTACTGTAGTTTTCATGAGCTTGACACCTCTCTTCCTTATGTTTATTTATAAGTGATAGTGACATTGGGAAAATCAGACGAAACATTGTCATATGGTTTAGCGATGACCAATCATCATTTCTGCTTTTAGGGGGGAATTAATGTTTTAAAACTGGCGTTTCTAAATACTCTGCTTAGTTTAAATTGGTTTAGCGTACGATAATGATCAACACAAATTTCTGCAAGTTTCCCTTTTCAGAGCAAGGAGGAATAAACTTAATTTTTCAAGATTTAGCAATTTAGCAGTGGAACTCCGCTATAACGAATACGACGGGGTCCACGCTAAATGTTTGGTTCAACGGTCGTTCGGAATAGCGAAATTAACTCCCTTACGTTTCGTTGCCGTGTTGAATAGCGCCCTCTCTTCTCTAACTGAAGCGCGTCCTCTTGTGATACGATGGTTCCCTGTTTTCGTGATGTTTCGCCGTTGCATTCACGTTTAAGGTTTCTAGAAATGTGTCTGTGAATTGTTTTGGCTTTTTATTAAATCTTGAGTTAAAAAATTGATATCAAGTTTATCCTAAAAGTCGTGAAGCTACCGCTCAGCACCACATTCAGGAGAATGTGGGCACGAGCGTGCAGCTCTTGAAATACGCGAGTGGTTGACTCTACATTTATGTATATTCATGTGTGATGGTGTCATGAGGTAGCAAGTCACATGACATCAAAGGTGCATCCTGTGAAACACTAGTCTTGTCATCATGACTGAATCAGATAGGGTGGGTTCGATTACCTTCCCTGAACACACCAGTGTCACACTCAATGGAAGCCTCAAAATGAGGCTAATCGAACGCTGCAGTGTGTTTTCCAAGGCATTCTGGGAAAAAGGTCAAGTTCCCGCCACGTTCCATCATGTACGCCCATGCTCGAACAGTTCATCCGTGACGTCATTACACTCGGGCAGCCTCCAGAGACCCGCTCGCCAGCTGGGGTAGTGGTGGCTGACACCAGAGCAGGCACGAAGATCACGCGATGGCTAAACGAACGCTTTCGTGTAAGTTTGACTTACACGTGTAAGCTAATCGAACGCACCCGTAGCTTTCATGAATACGGGCGATTCACAATAGTGCGCCCCAAGAGTGCGCCTCCAAACTCTTAGAGGCGCACTATTAGGAAACGCCCGTAATGTCAACGTTTGATATTTGTCCTGATATTTTCATTTTTCATTTAAACATGTTTCCTCTAGAAAGAGCTCCGCGGTTCCTATAACAAACACCAAATGAGTTTTACGCTTCTTTCAGTGGGTCTTGAATTGGTTGAGCTGCAGACTACATGTTTTTGATGATAGCTGCCTTTATACAACAGGGATAAATATTCCCGCTTCAAAAAGTTGGAGTTTTGGCTGAAGTTTCTCAGGTGTTCAAGACACATATCAAATTAAAGCTGACTTCCTTATCTCTCTTTTCCCTCTTATAATTTTCAGTGGCTTAACCGATGACTTTTGAAAATATTTCTCTCCAGACAAAATTACCCCTCAAAACATTCAAAACGGCCCATCGCCATTTCAAAAATTGATACCTAACAAATCTACTGCACAATAGAACGATTTGGAGGGCCCTGTTTGGTCTGACACATTCATAAATACAAGCTGGCAGTCCTTCTGGTAGATTCCATCCTCCTTTTTAACAAACCACCCAGTCCACGTGCCGCAAAAGGCTCTAACAGCAAAGAATTTCGAGCCTATAAATCATGATTCAGTCCGCGCAGGCGAGTTTGGAACTATTTGCTGGCCTACAAACCTAACAAAGTCGGACAGCGCCCTCAATTAGTAGGTTAACCAATTGAATGTAATTACCTAACAAAAACAAACTCACCCCCAAGCAGTGAACGTCTCCAGGTCTGTCAGCAGCCATTTTCAAATTACATCCCTCCACTTTCTAAGGCTCTTCGGAAAATTTTGCAATAGCATTTTTGTCCACTTTGCCCTAAACTGGGCGCCCCCAAATCTAGAAAGTTGATCCTGGCCCATACTTACTCAAACCTACAATTTTCTTGGGCCACACAAACTTCTCATTTCAAAAGAATGGGAGACTTTGAGACGCATGGTGGTGGCTGACACAATGGTCACTTTTGGTTAATGCGCGGCAGTAATTCTAGCATGTATTTTAGTTCTGAGCACACATGCACATAACCGCGGAAAAAATATTGAAACTACATACTAAGGCCTATATAGAGATCATTATTGTAAAGCTTATGATCTGCATGGGTGAAAAATATAGACATATAAACCCAAGGATGGCCAGGTCCTCTTCAAAACTACAGGGTATTTTGTGATATACACGGCGCCCGACTAAAATCAAAATTATGGGCAAATTCACCCCTCGGTATAGGTGATTTAAGCACAGTTGATGATTTCAAGCCATAAAATTTTACGAAACCATTTTCCGATTGTAAAAAAATCCTCCATTTACTTAATCTGGTCAATAGGGATTCAAAACAATGCGGTTGCAACATCTAAAAGAGATAGAGGTACTGAAGAGCCAAAAAGGGAATGTATTTTAGGAGTACATGGCAATGTGCAACTTTGAGAATAATGAAATAAAAAAGGACGCCCTCATTGTAAATCAATAACGGCTTCAGCGGGAACTTGACTACGCCTGTCCGTCTATAACAGATTTGGTAAAAACTTGGCGGCGCTTTATATTGGCAAAGAGAAAACAAAACCCCAAAAAGAAAACTTCTATCGGGCGCCCAATCAATGTCTGAAAAAAAAACGATTTAAATTTTCAATATAGTTATCCCCTTCAGCAGAAGCCCCCCTTATCAGTTGAAAAGAGGTATGTTGGTTGGGAACGCTCAATTTGTTGTTGTCGTTGCGAACGTAACGTGTGCGTTTTATTGCCGTTAGTAAACCAGTGAAGTGAAGTTCCTCCCAAAGAAGCCTGCGTTGCTAAAGAAATTGCGAACTCTCTTTGTCCATCTTGAGGCTCAACTTCACCCGACTTCACATTTCTCAATCACATGACATAAAGTCACTGGCCGTTCAGGCTTCGAAATTTCCAACATAGTCAGCGCGCAGCACCTGTAAATGCTGCTCCTTTCATTTGCTACGTATGCACGGCTGTCTGAATCATGCATATGTAATGAGCTGTGTAGTGGACTTTTCAGAATTGTATAGCACCTTGTGTTACCTTTAAGAATGGAATATCTTTACATAAATGAACAGTTAAGATATCAGTCTCATGTCCTTTGTAAAAAATACAAATATTCGCAGTCTCTTTTGAATGATATTAGCCGTAATACGTAGGCTTTCGTGTGTAAAAACGAGGGTACAAAAAAAACTGGTTTTAGTGGATCCAAATCTGGGCCAGCAGAATTTCCTTGACAGCAGAAAGATAGATATGTCACATATCCAGCCAAACAATAAGTTTTTACTTTCCAAGTCGTTGCGAACAGTCAAGTGCACCCAAAATATTTCGTTATCGCAGGTTTAGACTTCGTGAGATTAACCGAGAAAACTGCCGTATGTGTTTCGTGAAAGGCTATCTTTGATTGGTTGATTGATATATTTTCTCTAATACTGGCCAATCAAATGACATCGGAGATACGCGTAAATGTGTGTGACCAAAATCGGGAACCCAGACTTTGAAGGAAACCTAGTGAATGTTGGTCGTTTACTGGGGAACCAGACTTACCATTCGTTTCGCAAAAATGTAAACAATGCCGGGATCGCTGAGTGAGTAGTGCATAAAACTTTAAAATTTTGATTGGTATTAAACGGATGTTTAATCCTTTTCGTGAAGAATTGTAAGTCTCAATTTTATCCAGTTATTGCGAAATAGTCAGGTACACTTAAAAGAGGAGGCCTGCGATCTTTGTGAAAAACACTAAGCAAGTTTGCGTTCAAATAAATCGTTGGGAAATTGTCGATCATCGCCGAAACATAATTTTATTGATAGTGAAAA